GAAATTCAGGCTGGGGAGACGGAGCAGTAATAATGACTTGGACACACAGGAGGAAAATATAGCTCAGGGACAAGATGACGCCAAGGTTTCTGGCCTTGAGAAGGACTTGGGGATGTGAGGTGAGCACCGGGGGATGCAGAGGAGGGCCCCTGAAGGCACTGGACAGGTAGAAGGGGGAGGCCTAGACTGCAGAGATGGGCATCCGTTCTAGCCAGGGAGAGTCAGCACGGGCTGAGGCTTGTGTCACGGTGAAGGGATAGAACTGAGCATCCTGGGGATGGAGGGGGCACTCATCCCCATGGACAGGAAACATGAGAGTGTGGACCAGGAGCCATCACCCAGAGCTCAAGTTTTTCCTCTCTTTAAATAGGCTTAGCGATACCAGTCCTCCCTGGTTGGTGGGGCATTCTGTCAATCATCCCAAGCCACCGTGGAGGTGTATTTCTTGACTGCCTGCCAGATTCAAACCCTGTTCTACATTCTGGGGAGACAGTGGACAACAGATCAGCTCATTTAGAGATACAGTAGCTGGGGAAATAAGATGACAATTTTATAGATTGTTGAACAGGACTCTTCCTGTGGCTTTAGCACGTCTGCTGATGCTGAGCTGGGAAAATGGCTCAGTTAATAAAGTGCTTGCCTGCAAACCTGAGGACCCAAGTTTGGTCCTCAGAACCCAGTTTTAAAAACAAACAAACAAACAAGCAAACAAACAAACAAGCAATGGAAAAAACCCAGGCATGGTAGCATGTAGCTGGAAGTTTTCCTGTGTCCTGCCCAGTCCCGCGCTGCTCAGACCCAAATAAACATACAGAGGCTTATATTAATTACGAATTGTATGGCCATGGCCTATGGCTCAAGCTTCTTGCTAGCTAGCTCTTATAACTAAACTCAGCCCATTTCAGTTAATCTATATGTCGCCATGTGTTCCATGGCTTTACCTGTGTGCCATTGCATGCTACTCCCTGGACGGCAGGATGGCGTCTCCCCTGCCTCTCCTTTCAGTATCTCCCTTGGATTTTCCTGCCTGGCTCCATCCTGCCATGCCATAGGCCAATGCAGCTTTATTTATCAACCAATCAGAGCAACACATATTCACAGCATACAGAAAGACATCCCCACAGCAGTAGCATGTGCTTGTTAATCCCAGTACTGGGAAGACCAAGACAGATGGATCTCTGGGACTTGCAGGACAACCAGCCTAGCCAATCAGTAAGCAAGCCTAGGCCAGTGAGAGGTTTTGTCTCAAAACAAACCAACCAACCAACCAACCAACCAACCAACCAACCAAAAAACCCAATAGGGATGGCCCCTGAGGAATGACACCCAAGGGTGACCTCTGGCCACTGTACATATGTGCACCCCCACATGGACATGTACACACAGTTACAGACACACAGACATACAGACACAGACACAGACACACACACACACACACACACACACACACACACACACACACACACACAGAATGTCCACTGAAATGGCATAGCCTGGAACAACAGGACATTCTGAAGAGAAGTGCAGGATACCTTAGGCAGAACAGGTTTTTACAAACTGCCTTGGTTCTTGTCTACAGTGAAAAGGATGCAGTTAGTCACCGGGGAGAGAAACACTGGCTGCCTTAGTAGACAGGGCTGAGGTCTCCCTGAGGACACCCCTAATGCAAGCTGAGTGAAGGGGAGCATCACCTGCCAGAAGAGGAGCCTGCTATGACTCCTCCCAGCTGTCCTTCCTCTGGTACCCAGACAGTCACTGGTCGTTACAGATACCCCCATGTGCCAAGGCACAGCAAAAAGGTTCTTGGGAGGTCCCAACATCTTTAGGAACTGAGCAAGCACATATATGAAGAGACTCTCATCCAGTTCCCGATGGAGAATTGTGACTGTGAGGCTAGGGTGGTCTACATGGTAGGGAAGTAAGTGGCCTCCTTACCACTGCTTGGCCTGGCAAGTGCTGGAATGTCTGTTGGGGCAAGGGATGCAGGGTCTTCAGGAGATTGGTTAGAGACTCCTTTGCTATAACAGTTCAGGGTGGAAGCCCCAACCCCCTCCCCCCACCCCCAGCCCATATAAAAGAGATGGCCAGTGCTTGGGCACCTGCTAAATAAGGCCTTGCTACTCTTTCTCTGGCACCCCCTGTGGCACATTGACCCAGCAGAGCCATAATGTAGAAGGAGAATCTGAAGAACAGACCCCACCCCCTCTCCCCACTATAGGCCTGCAGCTTATTGGTGGGGAAGCAGAGGGGAGAGGAAGAGAATTAAATTGGATATGATATTGACTAAATTGGATGAGCCTTTGACCTGAACAAGAGCAGGCTCTTTAGTGTCTAAAAGTTGATCTTAGTTCTTGTATCTGGTAGGAATAGGCAAGCCAAGGACCGTGCCTGAGCTGTATTAAGAGCAGAGAAGAATGGGGCTGAAGAGATGGCTCAGTGGTGAAGAGCACTTGCTGCTCTTCCAGAGGGCCCAGAGTTCAGTCCCTAGAACCACATCAGGTGGCTCACAAGCCACCCATGACTCTGGCTCCAGGGAACCCTATACCACTGGCCCCCAAGGGCCCCTGCACTCACGTGCACATGCCTGTATGTAGGCACACACACCTATACATAATCGAAAGTACTTTTAAAAATCTTTTAAAAAGAATTAGGGAAGCCGGGCAGTGGTGGCACACGCCTTTAATCCCAGCACTTGGGAGGCAGAGGCAGGCGGATCTCTGTGAGTTTGAGGCCAGCCTGGGCTACAGAGTGAGTTCCAGGAAAGGTGCAAAGCTACACAGAGAAACCTTGTCTGGAAAAACCAAAAAAGAAAGAAAAAAAAGAAGTAGGGAAGGAAGGCTCACTATTATGTGGTGGGAGACAGGAATATAGCTGATTGTCCCTCCTTTAAGTTCTGTCTCTCGAACCAACTGCACAGTCAACAAATGGTAAGATAATTTCAACTCGGTAAAGCCATGGAGATAAAGCAGGGTGGTGTCGGGTTCTGTCTCTTGAGCCAACTGCACAGTCAACAAATAGTAAGATAATTTCAACTCGGTAAAGCCATGAGGATAAAGCAGGGTGGTGGTGTGTGAGACCGTGGTGACTTGGAGGTACGAGGGCTGTTCTAAACCAGGGAGGTTCAGGGATGGTGTTACAGTTTGGTGCTGAAATCTCTCCCCAAAGGACATGTGTCAAAGGCTTGATGACTAGTTTGTAACACTCCTTGAGGAGGTGGAGATTAGGAGAAGCAAGTTAGGTCACTGGGGACATGCTCTCCAAGGGACAGTTGGGACCTTGGCCCCTTATTTTCTCTCTTTGCTTCCTCTGCCTTCCTTCAGCACAGGCCCCAAAGCAATGGAGCTAACCAGCGAGGGTGGAAAATGTGAGCCGAAAGAAATGATTTCTCCTTGTAAGTGGGTAACCTTGGGTATTTCTTCACAGGCCTGGGAAGCTGAGCAGTGCTCTCGACCACTCTAGGGGGTGATATTTGAAATGAAGAGTCCATCCTGAAGACCCCCTGGAGATGAACACTCCCTCCAGGTGGCGGGAGATGGACACGTTGGTGGACTGTTTGCAGAGTGGAGAGGGCCAGGGCAGATGCTGTCTAATGAATACTGAGCAAGAATAAGCTCAGATAGGCCAGAGAGCCAGCTGGGCATGGTGGATTTTGTAGGCCAGTGTCAAGTATTCAGGCTTTCTTCTCCAATTAGATATTACTGAGGCTTCTGGGAGGAGAGAGGCTGGTACGGGAAGCTGTAAGTGGTGCCCTCTACCTGCTCTTTCATTCTGCCTCCCTAAGGGATAGTAGGCTGTGAAAACATTCCCGGGAAAGCCATATTTGCACCCTGCCAAGGCTTTTAGGCTTTGGGGCAGCGGACATGGGTGAGAAAGACAGCAGATCTGAGAAGGTGCTTGCATGGGAGGTAGCCGACATCGCTGTCCCCCTCAATACACGATGTACGAACCCAGCCCATCAGGGACCACTCAGAGGCTCATCCAGTCCCACTAGGCGAAATCTCTCGAAGGAATGAGGGGCTGTGACAAGAGTCCAGGGGGTAAGAGCCAAAGGCCACCGGCCTGTTTTTCATTTCCCTCATCGGCCATGCGCTTCTTTAGCCACCGTATTCAAGAGGCTCCATGTCTACCTTTGTGAAAAGAGGCTCCCTCTTCCAGCGGCAGCCATCATCACCACAGGCCCAGGCCAAGCCTGGACGCCACAGGAAGCTGATTAAGATCAAGGAGCTGAGAAGGCTGGCAGAGCATGTCTCTACAAGGCAGGGCTGCCAAGGGTGCGGCCAGCTCCACTAGGGGGCGCGCGCCCCCCCCCCAGTTGACCTGCCCCATAGGCGTCCGGCTCCTGGCTGCTGCCCCAGGGACACCTGCACTCTCGCCTAGCGCCCCCAGAGGCCAGGGGAGGAAGCGACACGGGGCCAGGCGCGTATGCCTCAGGCTCTGTCCCCATTACTCTGGTCTGGGTCCCTTCCCCAGCCTCCTTCAGGCCAGAGAAGCAGCCTTGTTCCAAATCTGGGTCCATGAGATCTGAAGCAGGAAATACATCCAGGACAAGTGGACAGTTTGAGCTTGCTCAGGACAGGAGACCGGCGGCTCAGGTGCGCTTGTCCAGGCAAACTCCCATCTGTCCTTCCAGTCCCCCGGGTCTGCCCTGCGTCATCGCCCGCAGCTCCTCACGGGTTAATCCCCTCGCCGCCCGCTCGCTTCTCGGTGCCAAAGTGGGTGTTGCTGGAATTCCTGTCTCCCGTAATAAGGGGGCCGAGCTGTCCCTCCGAGGAGGGGGCATGGCGTGGATAAAAGGGACGAAAAAGCAGGGGGTGGTTTCCAAAAATAAAACCCTCCGGTTCCCCTTCAGACGGCTGCAGTGCGGGGAGCGGGCGCGAAGGTGCAGTGGATACGGGCTCGGTGCGCAGCCCAGGCAGCTCACGCCATACAGTCCTTGCCCAGGAACCCCCGGGCCCCAGACGGCTGCTTCAGAGTCCCCCATAGACGGGTAGGGGCAAGCCTCCAGGCCGGTCCGTGGAGCGAACGGTGGAGAGCATCTCCCGCGAGGTCTCGGGTGCCCACAGCTCTGCAGCCACACTGGCGCCATGAGAGCTCCGACCACCCCCACCGCCCGCTGCTCCGGACGCGTCCTGCCGATGTGTTGGAGGGGCTTTCTGCCACTTGCCCTGGCTCTTTTGATGGGGCCGGGTCATGCCCAGAGGGACTCCGTGGGGAGATATGAACCAGCTAGCAGGGATGCGAATCGGCTGTGGCGCCCCGTGGGCAGTCACCCGGCAGCGGCTGCAGCCAAGGTGTACAGTCTATTCCGGGAGCCTGATGCGCCCGTCTCCGGTTTGTCGCCCTCGGAGTGGAACCAGCCGGGCCAGCGGAGCCCCAGGAGGCCCGCCGAGGCTGAGGCCGAGGCCAGGAGGCCATCCCGTGCCCAACAGCTGCGTCGAGTCCAGCCACCTGTCCAGACCCGAAGAAGCAGTCCCCGGGGCCAGCAGCATCCAGCAACCCGGGCCGCGCCTTCTATCGCGCGCCCGGTGACCCCGCAGCGACCCGCGGCGGCACGGCAGGGGCGGCTCACCGGGTGAGCACTGGAGGGGGAATGGTGGGGAGGACGGTCATGCCATCACTGGCATGCGGGACAGAAGAGACTTGTGTCCCTTTGTCCTCAATACTGGAGAGAAACGGCTCCGAGGTTCCGAAGCCGGGGCTCAGAACCAGCTTTCAAAAAGTTTTTGGGGGAAAGAATAAATCTACTATCCTTTCCCGTGGACACCAGCTCACCCGGAACCCCGACGTTAAGTTCTTGTGCGTTTCTAGCTCATTCTGTGCTGGGCTAACCAGCTCAGCGACTGGCAGCCCTGCCGGGATCTGAGAGGCCGTGGGGAGCAGGCAGCTGGGTGGGCGCTCTGGGTTCTTGAGGCCCAGAGAAGGTTAAGCTGGCGCGGGGAGCCAGGAGGTGGAGGATCTGGACGAGGGGGTAGGGGGGTGGGTGGGGACACCCAGGCGCGAAGACAGATGCATCTCCTGGAAGGGGCTGGCAGCGAAGCCGGCGCGCCGAGACAAGTGTATGGTCCGGGCTCAGGGCTGCTGGGACACGCAGAGGGCTTAGGCAAGGACTTAGGAGCTCTTTGGAGGGGAAGGCTGCCCCGACGCTGTGTGAGGGACGGGGTCTGGGTGTGCCAGTGAGTCTCTGTGTCAGCACTATTTGTACATTTTTTAAGGCCGAGCCTCCTTCCAACTCCTTCCAACTCTTCAACTTTTTTGCACCTATTTTGCACCTCTCGCTGTGGCCCCTGGACTCTGTTCTATTACCACAGAAGGAGGGCCCCCTCCCCTGCCCAAGAACACCCTGCCTAGAATTACAACGGTTGGGGATCTTGCCTGAGTATCCAGGTGTCTCTGGAATGAGGGCGCAATAACCTGGCAGTGCCCGACTGGGCAGGGTAAGCCTAGGAGGGGCTCTGGCAGCCGTTGGTTTGAGCCTGATTTACCTGCTGGTTTTAGTCCCAGGTTAAGAGTCCCGATGCTTGTACCCCTAGTTCCACTACGGAGGATCTTCTGCTTCCTGGACCTTACACATACTGTTCTCCTTGGCTGCATGCAGCGCTCTTCTCCCGTATTTCAGCAGGATTCATGGTGTGTCATCCCTTCTCTGCCCCCTCCCCATTTTATGCTTCCTTATAGCACTCATTTATATATTTCTATTTCTGCTTATGTGCTCAGACTTATACGAGTTCCATGAAAGCAGGGTTTTGTTCACTTCTGTGTTCCCATCAGATCAGCGCCTGCACATAGCTGGCCTTCCGAGTGTGAATGGACTCCCTGCTGCCCTTCAGAGGCCTAGCCCAAAGTCTGCAGGGCGCAGATCCGCATGCTTCTAAGTGGCTCCTATATAGGACCATTCAAGGAGAGTTAATGGGGCACCTGCCCCGTTTCAGCTTTCTCCGCTTGCCTGACTTGTGCGGGCAACTGCATGATTACATATTGCTGAGCATGTGAAAGGAGGCGGGGAACCACAGAACACAGCGTGGTTCCTGCTGGAAGGGCAACTCAATTACTTAAAATCAAGTTGGAGGCGTGAGCAGTATGTGCTGGTGAACGTGTTTCTAAAGGTATTGGAAGTGTTTGCTAAGTGCAATGGAGCAGTACAATGTAGTAGAGAGGCTCAGGGATGAGACACTGGGACTTGGGACACCCCCCCCCGGGGGGGGGGCGGGGGCTCAGTAGAAAACAGATGAGGAAGGAGATGAGAAGGACCAGAGTGACACCTGGAGATGACCACGTCAGGCTGACTTAACACTGCCTCGGAACAAGGGCTTTTCACCGTTGGGGTTTGCCCAGGGGCAGGAATGAAACCCTGTTTATAGGGGAGCCAGGGGCTTAGGCTAGAGATGAAGTTTGGGCGTCATAGGGGAGTTTATACTGCAGGCATTTAGGGGTGTGTGTGTGTGTGTGTGTGTGTGTGTGTGTGTGTGTGTGTGTGTGTGTGTTGGAAGGTGCTGTTAGGAGTCATAAAGTGAAGCAAAGCAGACTGTCACCAAGACCAAGCTGGCGGATATGCACAGGTGTGTAAGTGGCTGGGTACCACCCACAGGCACCTGCTATATACACAGATACATACACACCTGTGCTGGTTGACTCCTCACTTTTGTCTCCTGCACATTTGGTAGATAATAAGTTCTTTTGGCATACTATTCATCCCCTGGGGAGGGGCTGAATGACAAAATAATTTCTTAACTTCCTTAATCCGTGTCCATCCTGGCCATTGTGTGGAAGTCAGAGCTAGGGGCCAAGTGCCATCTGCTGGTGGGATGTTTAACTGCACAGCATTGCTAGTTGAAACTTTTTTTTTTTCCTTAATTTTTTAACTTTTGAATTCCTTCAATATGCACTATGCTGGACCCTGGGGGTATAGCAGTGGACAAGACAGATAAGTCCTGTCCTTATGGGAATTTTGATGTAGTGGGTATTTTTTTTAAAAAAAATATATGCCAGGCACTGTGCTAAGTGTCTGAGGTGTAGAGGTGAGCAGTGTAGCTATGTAATAGTCTACAGAGGACTTATTAAGCCATTGTTTCCCAGCTCTCAGTGTCTTTTGAACCAGCCTCATAGCAGAGCATCTTTGTATTTTCTTCGTATTCTCTTATTTTCTCTCTTTCCACCAAGTGGGTCCCAGGGATTGAACTTAGGCTGTAAGGGTTGGTGGCAAGGGCTTTTATCCAATGAGCCACCTTGCCAGCTTTTTTTTCTTCATCAATACATTATTAAAGTAACAGAATTCCATGTCATATATTTTGAAGTAAATTATGAAAATTTAGATGGATACTAAAAGGTATTATAAGTAACAGAGCTCACAAGTTATTTTTCTTTCAGGTTTTCTTTCTAAGTTGAAATTTCTTCTATAAATTTGCCTCCCTCTTTCTGAAGTAAACCACTCTTTGGATTTAAATATTTCCAAGGTGTGTTTTATACTATTACAACAGATGTAAATACCCATAAAATACATAATATTGTACTTTAAAATTTTTGCATATTTTAGACTTAGATATTTGCATATTTTAAACTTAGATATTTGTCTATTTTAAACATAGATATTTGCATATTTTAAACTTGGATATTTGCATAATTTAAACTTGGATATTTGCGTATTTTAAACTTAGACAAATGATAGCATATTGTATCCCCTAACTATGTTCTTCCTTTCTCATTAGGCACTTGAGACTTAGCTATAATAATATACAGCTCAAATGTATTCATTTTAACTGTCGTATATTGTTCCCTTGTCTAAATATACCACAGTTTATTTATCCATCGTCCTGTTTCTGGATGTTTAGATGAATTACATTTTTTTACCATTACAAACAGAGCCTGACTCATTTTTCTGCATAAATAAATCCGTAATTAAAAGGAAACTTTGTATCATTATTGCAAGCTAAAAGTAGTCCTATTTGTCAAAAAGAGAAAAGAAATGCAGGAGAATTTGAAATAAAAAAAAAAGAAGCTTTTCAGTTTTGGTCAGGTACCACCCCTTGTTCTAGAAGCTGAACCTTGGGGCCTGTTCTTTCTGTGGAGAAGTGGACTGGTTGTGTCCAGGGGCAGGATCCAGCATGAGGACGTAGCCTCAGATGGAGACCTGCTCACCTGCCCGAGTAGGTTACAAAAATCATGGAACAGGAAACGACTTCTTCGCCGTGAGTCAGTCTTGCTGAGTCCGCCTGTCATATAAACCTAACATCCCCTTTCCTACCCTTAGCATTGCTCAGCCCATCTCTGAGGGAGCCCTGGATTGGGTGACTAACAGGAGCATTTAATGGACACCATGTATTAGGCACTGGGTCAGCCTACAGAGGCAAGGAGACAAAGGAACGAACCTTTGAGATACCCAAGACAGAAGTGGACCCCAGTGGCAGGAGCCACCACTACCAAATAATGGTGGTGAGTGCAGGGGGAGCCAGACTCTTGTCAGGGGAGCCTTATAGGAGGGAGCTAATGTCAGATCTGGAAGTCTGGCACGCATGAGACAGATGCAGTCACCTCCCAGCTGGTCTGGCTGGGCCTGCGGTATCCTCGGAGATGACCACTGAGTATCTGAATCTCTTTTAGGTAATCCTCCAGCTCCATCCCATCCCTTCTGCTGACAGCCTCTGATTCTGGCCAGTCTCTGCTCTGGCCCTGACATCCCTTAGGACCCCTCTATAGGCAGGCAAGGCAGACCTGACCGCTGACCTCCTAACTCTTAGCTGTAAAGCCATCCTGAGGGCATCTGGGTTGATGCGTGGTTCAGGGCCCTCTTGGGCAGGATTTGTGCTATGACTTCCAAGGCGAGTAGGCTCCTTGGTTTGTGCTGGGTTCCCACAGGCGCTGGTTTTTCAGAAAACTCCCAGAACACGCAGCCTGTTTTCTCTCAAAGACCTTCCAGCCCACAAAGTGGCTTGTCGCTACCACAAGGGGTAGCGGCTTCCAAATGATGGACTGTTTTCCCCTTCTCCCCGGGTATATGCTTGAAAGCCCTGGGCCTGGGTTGTGGGGGGCAGCTCTCTCCTTGGGGTCTGGTGACTCAGGCCTTGATTGGGAGAAGAACTTTATGGAACCAGGATGGTGCCTGAGGAGGTAGCCAGCAAGACAAAGCTCTTGGCCAGCGGGACATTCTGAAAGCTCCCTGGGAGGCCGTGCCCTACAATGTTGGGCCCAAGGGCCAGGAATGGGCCTCAGCCTTTGCAGGCTTTAGGAATTTATTTTGAATTCTTTGTATGACTCCCACAACCGCACAAGCTTTGGGGTCCACTCAAATGTCAAACAATTTCCTAAGCGGCACCAGATGCTCGTCATCTTGGCCCTAAAGATCCCAGGAACGGCCACCCACTCCAGCCTCTGGCCCCCCAACCTCTCCCTCCCACTTAACCCTGTTTCGTTTCTGTTCCTTATGACTGGGCCCAGTGAGTCAGAGCCAGCCTCGCCTGTCTTGTCTTCTCCGGAGTACTCCTTCTTGGGGCGTTTCCCTTGTCTGGTTATCTGGGGTCTGCGGATGGAGAGCTTGGGCTGGAGAACCTTCTGGTGCTGGTGGCACTCTCTAGACTTCTGAGGATGACATTTGAACGAGTGGAGTGAATGTTCCAACTTGAGCAAAAGTTAAGGTCTCATGAAGGTGTCAGAGCCAGGTGCACCGCCCCCCCCCCCGCCCCCCATAAACTACATTCCATTGTCTTTCCCAAATGAAAAGAGTGCTTCCTGGACAGAGGTGGCTTCGTTATGTCCCCTCTTCCTACTGCTGCCGCCCTGGGAGCCTTTCTTGAACAGTGACCCAAGAGCCCTGTTTTTTGAGTCTCACACTTAGCACTCAGTCTGATGACATACGAGCCTGCCCAGGTCTACTCGTCCTGGTTTGAATTCGTGGGATGGTGACTGGCATATATATCCTTAAGACTGTATCTATACAGGACCTCCGTGCTGTCAGCATTTGGAGGCAAGGAGCACAGTGTGTGGCTTTGGTGAGAGGCGTTGTAGACTTGGAGCCTGGTGTAGAGTCCGACCAATTCAGAGATGTTTGTTTGTTTTGGTGTTCTGGATAGAAACCAGGGCCTCCAACATGCTAGGCAGGCTCTCTCTCACTTTGCTACCCAGTCTAGCCTGCCAACCTAGATTTGAATTGGGCTCTGGTACTCGATGGTTATGTGGCTTTGGCAAATGACTGAATCTCTCTGAACTTGCTTACCATCTTGTCCTTGTTGTGTGTGTGTGTGTGTGTGTGTGTGTGTGTGTGTGTGTGTGTGTGTGTGTATGTGTGTGTGTATATGTGTATGTGTGTGTATGTGTGGTGTGTGTGGTGTGTGTGTGTGTGTGTGTGTGTGTGTGTGGTGTGTGTGTGTGTGTGTATATGTGTATGTGTGTGTATATGTGGTGTGTGTGTGTGTGGTGTGTGTGTGTGTGTGGTGTGTGTGTGTGTGGTGTGTGTGTGTGGTATGTGTATGTGTGTGTGTGTGTGTGTGTGTGTGTGTGTGTGTGTGTGTGTGTGTAAACTGTTTGAGATGAGGTCTTGCCCAGTTCTAGGCTGGCCTAGAACTCCCTTCAGTATGCTACCGTGCTCTGCTCTGTACTGGCTTCTGTGTCCTGGGTGCTAGACATCATCACAGTCACTCGGTGAAGCATGCATTATCTCCACTGTGCAGATGGACAGACTGAGGTCTCCCAGAGGTGTACAGGAAACAGCAGGGATAAGATTCAACTTTGGTCTTCATCACACCACAGTCCTCATTCCTGGACCAGGTGGCCTCCAAGTGAGATGGGGACAGTCTTCCTGGCCTCTAAGTATTCCCCCCAATCCCTGCCTAAAGGGGGCTGTATGAGTAGTCCCAGCTCTGAGCATCCTCATATTAACTTTGCTCTGGCGACTCCACAGGAGAAATGTCTGCGGGGGACAGTGCTGCCCAGGATGGACGACCTCAAACAGCACCAACCACTGCATCAAACGTGAGTGCCTCCTGTCCCATCCACCCCTCTTGCTCTTAAAGGGGAGACCTGGATGAGGATGCCAGGACCAGGAGCAGACGGGTCTTCCTTGGCCTCCTCTTGGGGATGCAGCTGGTCTTCGGAGAAGAGGCAGTGTGTCGTGGAAGGGAGACTTAGAGATGCCTCCAAATGGAGACTGTTTCTCAAGGCAGATTCCTGCTTGTGTTTTAAACTTCTTACATTTCCTTCTCCTCCCGGCCCACTGTGTTGGTACCATGTTTGTGGTCTGCAGAATATACCTCTGGGGACACCAGTCTTACGGTGGGCTGTGGGAATCCACCTCTGCACTGGCCCCTGGCCTATCAGGCAAATATGGTACTAGGATGATCAAATAAGCCTCTGAGTTGGTGTCTGGAACAGCCTTCTCTCAGACTACTCTGAAGGCTGCCTAACTGTCTTAAATGTTGGGAAAGAAAGAAATCCTCTTAGCTATGTGCAGACCAAGGATGGAGACAGGAAGAGTCGTGACCTCTAGGCTGAGAGCCATGACCCATGCCTCCATTAATGTCAGAGGCAGAGTCAAGAGCCAATACTTACATGGTATCACCCACTTTTCACTAACTGTGATGAACCTTCCCCCTTGGTGGATGAAAAAATAAGTCAGGCAATGGAGGAAAGTAGAATGGAATCAGACAGCCCGACTCCAGGATGCTACTCACGCCCTGCTACCAGGTACCTGATCCTTTCTTCTGGGCCTCACTCTGCACTGGAACTCTGGGGAGGATAGTGTAATTCCTGGGGCTGCTACTAGCTAAGCATTGGATGTTAGGATAGCCCAACACCTTGCCGGACTCTTCACAGACATCACAGTTAAGCTTCTCCACCTACAAGGAAACTAAGGCTTTGGTTAGGAGATATGCCCGAGGATAGGGTGCTGTACATGCTGGGGCTGTTGATGCTGCAGGACTAGGGACCACACTCTGAGAGTCCCTGGGGACTCTGGAGATGTCTGAAGTTCAAGGTTGGGCAAGGAGATTGGTATGTTCCAGAGAGCTCAGCCTTTGCAGGGAGCCTTTGGCTGGTAGAGAGTTGCTCGGGTTGACTGGAACAGGCAGCCTCACAGGGGGTGGGGCCTCTACCCAGATGCCTGAGGGGTCTGGGCCTGGCCACACTCGGCCCTGCCGGCCTGCAGCCTGTTTCCTAACTCACTTGTGATTTTCCAGTATTCCTCTTTGCCAAACTGTAGTTTTAACACTGGAAACTTGAGGTTGGGTAAGTGCAGAGCGTCTCAGACCAAGCGTGGGTGCACGCTCCTGTCTCAGAAGGTGCTGCTGGAGGATGTGTAGGTACCCACACCCCATTATTTCCCTGTCCAGCATAACAGTTCTGCTGCACCACCCCCAAAACCTGTCCCCTTACCCTCGGACCAGGCTGTGGGCTGTCAGCTCTCTGGAGGATTGGCCTTCCCTACTTGAAGTGGGCTGCCCACTGAAGGGCTGTGTGGTATTTAGCGGGTCCCTATGCTGTTTGCTTGTTGCTATTTTGCTGCTAATGAGCCTAATGAGAACCACGTGAGCAACGGGGTGTTGGCCCTGGATAACTGGGCCCAGGGCTGTGTAGAATGTGGTGCTCTTGGCTCCCTACCCTGACAGCTGGGTCTGCGCTTCTCCAGTGGCTTTTCGTTGCCCTCTCCCCTCTACGCAGCTGCCCCGAGGGATGGGGAGATGCCATGCCAGAGAATGTTCAGGATTCTGTCCTAGCAATTTCACACCTACGGGGTGCCTTCCAGGCAGGTGGGAGATGAGAACAGATAAGGAGGAGTGTGTGACGTACCCCGTTTCAGTCTTGGCCCCCAAACCATGTGGAGACTTAGTTCCTCTTCTGTCTCCTCACATACGAGGACTTGATAACCTACCCATGTGCAGAAGTGCTGGTCCTGGCTCAGTTGCCCCTTATTCCTGGCCTCTCTCTTCTCTCATGGAAGCAAGAAGTCCTCAGTCCGCACACTCTCCCACCTCCCCTACTCTCCTCCCCCAAAGCCATGGGAACCTGGGGAGCTGCCGCCATGTCTCTGGCTGCCACATTGCTGTATCCCCATTTCCTCCCTCTACCTTGGTGGAGTCTGGAATCGGGCCACCGTCTTCTCCCTTGGTCTTGGTATCTGCCTTTTTTCATGGTCTTGCCAGCTCATCTGCATGATTCATGTGTTTATGTATTTGTGGAGGCAGCTGACTGAGGGGAAGGGCGGTAGGAAGTGAGATGGCTGTCCTGTTTATAGCTGCTGCTTTGGGGGAGATTCTTCGGTTTTCTCACCTGAGCTCACCCGTCTCCACACGTCTGGGGGAGGGGCTGTAGGACCTCCCCCAGCCTTCCTATCTTGACTTGAGGACACAGGGTCTGGGGCTCTCTGGGGAGGACAGTCCCCTGCAGTGGCTGAGGAGGGGCCGGTCTCTAGACCCCAACTCTTGCAGTAAGGTTTGAGGTTAAGAGTCTATGCTTTAGATTCTGGTTTCAGATCTAAGGAGATGGATGGTTAAACCCCAGGTTTAGATCCTTGGGCAACTAACTTTTTCTCTTTTTAGTTCAATCTTAGCCATACAGTGTGTGACAGCTTATACAGGCTTGTCTTTGGGATTAACAACAATACAATTCATACCTCTCACAGTGTGCCAGGTTATCGTAAGTCCTTTATATTACTGATTTTACCTATCTGTCTGTCTATCTATCTGTCTGTCTGTCTGTCTGTCTGTCTGCCTGCCTATCTATCTGTCTGTCTGTCTGTCTGTCTGTCTGCCTGCCTATCTATCTATCTATCTATCTATCTATCTATCTATCTATCTATCTGTTTATTTATTTTGGTTTTTCGAGACAGAGTTTCTCTGTGTAGCCTTAGCTGTCCTGGAACTCACTCTTCAGACCAGGCTGGCCTCAAACTCACAGAAATTCATATATTACTGAATTTTAATACAGTGACTCTTGAGGCTAGAGTTGATCCCCCCACCCTCCACCATTTGCAGATGAATCTGGATAGTTGTCCAAGCCAGGGAGTGGGGGGTTCAGCAGTCTGTGCATGAATCCAGTCTCCGACTCCCAAGGGCCAGCCCTTACCCCCCATTCTCTCTGCTAAATGAGCAACTCTACAGACAGCCTGGCACACGGTTAGGCACATGGTGTTTGGAGTTCAGTCACCAGAGCCTGTGCTGGAGACCCACTTGGTGGGTGTGTGGCCATGGACAAGCTGCTGGAGCTTTCTGTGTCTGGGTGTCCTCTTCTGTGCCCTGTGACTAATAATAATTGCTTCCTTCCAGAGTTACAAGGAACAGATGAGGCGACTTAGGTCAAACGTTTCATTTATACAGAGCCTGCATTGTTGGCTTTGATTTCTAAGGTCGGGGGTTATCTCACTGCCCCCAGCATGCAGCACCTCTGTGTGGCATAGTGCCTTTCCTGGGCCACAAACTCCTGTCAGCTTTCCCAGAAACCCTCCCTGCTGCTCAGGGGACCTGGTGATGGAGTCCTGGGTGTGCATTTTGCTCCTGACTTCTTGGTCCGGAGCCTCTGCCTTGTGTGGTAGGCGTTGGGACAATATTCCTTCTGGTTCTTGTCTCAGTCCCACAAGGACCCTGTTTCTCTTTTCCTGGGCCCCCCTTGGCTTCTTCGGGGTGCTTGCCTGACTCCACCCATAGCATACCTGTGGAAGACTCACATGTGAGAAGGACAGTTATGCAGAAGTTGTTAGGGGATGGTGGGGAGGAAGCTGGGGGGAGGCAAAAGGAATCACGTGAGCTCAACAGAGACCCAGCTAATAAGAAATGCACAGCCCCCAGACGACATTGTATAGGGTACTGTAGCTCTTCCTGGTGGGTATGTGTTTCCCCATGAGGCTTTTTGCATCATGAGACGTCCTGAGGCAGGAGCTTCCTGAAGTCAGGTGCTGGTCCCCTCTACACACACTAGTGTGTCCTCGGCAGGCATGCCCCTGACTATGGCTTCTATCCCTGCTACTGAACAACAGTTTCCCAGGACATTCGCAGCCCTCTTTTTCCGGCTGCACTGCCCCTGGAGTGGCCTGCTTTCTCATAGATGTAGACACTGTCTTGGGGCCACTAGCCCGTGTTTATAGACACCCACCCCCCGCGCCAGACTTCTCCCTTGACCTCAGGCTCCTGAGTTCTGCTGCCTGCTCAGGATCTGTTACGATGGCCTGCCTCCCTGACTGTCCTGACCCCCAGCTTGTGCAAAATGAGCACAATGCTTTCTCTCCCCCTCTGAGGTAGTTTTTCTCCCTAGTGTGAAATGGCATCCCCGGATAGCTAGGGCCACATGGGACACCTCCTTCTTCCTCATGCTTTGTCATCGTTTCCTTGCCAAGCCCTGCTTGTTTTCTCTTCCCAAGTCCCATGAGGGCTGTCTGTGCCTCGCTTTCTTCCTGCGATGCCTCTCTGGTCTCGGGCTTCCGTGGCGATCTACTCCGGATATCTGCAGGGGTCTACGGGCTGTTCTTTCTGTTACCCCTTAATGCACCAGCTTGCCTTCTGCTGTGGGGGTCCCCAAACCAGTGTCCCTTCCAGCCTGGCTCTTAGCCTTTACCCTGACTCACATAATCTAGCCCTGGCTGCTGGGAATGCGCCTCCTCTAGTCTACGGTCAATGCTGCTCCCCCCCGGCTCTGCCTCCACTCGCTGCCTGTGTGCCTGGCCTCCTATCTTGTTATCTTTCCAGTCTCCGCATCATGCTCCCCTCCCTCAGAGAGGCGGCCTCCAACCACTCTGCTTATACTTGCTCCTCAGTCTTGTTTTCTCTGGATCTTTGGCCCCCTAACTGTTGCCATCCATATCTTCACATCCCGACTTCCGGCCTTCTGTTCCATTGTTGTTTGTTTTCTGATACCCTTCTGGTTAATTTGGAAGTTCCATGAAGGAATGGACAGAGTTTATCTTCTGTACCATTCTAGGCAGCAATTAAATAGTAGATGCACAGCCATGTTCTAGATAAGGACACAGTCTGCCAGTGGTAATGGCG